GACAGTCGACGCCGTTACTATCACATAGACAAAGATTTTCTTAATAATTGTTCTTTTTATTTCGTTGTTGTTGTTTGGCAATTTTTAAACATTGCACATACAAGATAAATTTATAATTTTATTATTGTGATGAAGATGTTCTTACTGATTCTTATTTATTAAAAAATAAAATGGATAATGAATATTAATATGAATTGTAATAAATAAATTATAATTAATTTACAAAATAATTTAATAATATATAATAATAATAATTACACCAAGTCACTTCTTCAAATTCATTTACTATATAAATCCTCATGACAAGGTTGTCATTCTTCACAACCTTCAATCCTCTTGCCTTTTCTTCCTTTGCATTGCTTTCTCTTTATACAACTCCTCTTGGATCATTTTTTTACTCAGGACATCTCCAAAGCCAAACTTCATTATTTTTTCACTTGATAATTCTTCCACACACAAAATTTTTCAAATGTATCTCATCATGTCACATCACTCATAATTTTCCTTCTTTTTTCTCCAACAAATAAATAATTTGTATATTATACACACAATATGAAATAATAATACTTTCAATAAAAAAATAAAAAAATATAAAAATATAAAAATATAAATTTCTCACCACAAAAACTTCCCTTTCCATCGACTAATTAGGCAATTAATTAATCGATCGTCTAGCAAGAAAAGAAGCCTAAGCTAAGAAAAAAACTATCACAGTAAAGCAAGTTAATTAGTTAATCATTTGCAACCAATCAAATTCCTAGAGGACCCTTCACATCATCGTTTTATTATTGTTATGTAATAAGATTTTACCGCCTTCACGCAATCCTTCACTTTTTTCCCCGCAAAAGAGGCATTTTTTTTTTCTCCTAAATAAATCATTTTTAAACAATTTATTTGCTAATCACATACTAGACCAATAATCAAATCACACACGGGTCCAATGTCTCCTCACCGTCTCTTCCTAATACTTTATTGGAACAACAATAGTAATCTAATTGATTATTACAATCTAATTAATCATAATACACAATTATTAAAATAATTAGCCAACATTCACCTGAATCTTTCAGCTTAACAATTATTACATTATTATCTATCCAATACATCATTATCTTCTTCTTAGTTCATTCATACATTATTAATTCTTTCTAACAATCCAAAAAGTTTACAAAATGTTAAAGAACAAAAAAAATTTTGAACGAAAAAATAAACGAACGAAAAGAGAAAAAAATCACGCCAAAAGTCATTTAATATTAATTAATTAATTAATTATATATTATT